TCATGATTGGGGTTATAGTAAACATACTCTGTCCTCATGTTATGAATGAACAGGAACACTCCGTATAGAGGATTCCTGTTCATTGATTACAGGGGCTGCAGAAAAAGAGATTGAGGACTCTGTGTCCCCAATCTCTTTTTCTATTTTAAAAGGGAAATAATAGGGGGTCAGTTTAAACCCCCAATATTTCCCTGAAGCCCTAAAAGTAAAGTAAAAAATACAAATATTTATCAAAAAATGAACGAATAAATAAAAATAAAGTTTATAAAAATTAAATTTTGAAAAAATAAAAAACATTTTCGGTTTCGGCCTGACAGTTTTTTTTATTTCGGTTGCGTTTCGGTTGTAGAATTTCCACTTCGGTTCACCTCTAATAAATAATAACACTGGCCCCGGCCTCCCACAATGCAGTGTTCAGTACCCAGACAGCCAATCACCAGACCCAGCTGCTAGAGGGGGCGTGCACATCACCAAGCAAACACTGACTTGCTGAAAAGTCATCCCTTGCATAGGATCACCGCAGCAGCAAACACGCTTCTAGAGAGATCCTCGCACATCACTATTATGACGGCTCGTGTGTTGCTAACACATCTCCTATGATATCGGTGACAACATGACAAATAGACAGAAGCCGTCTCCTCTGATAATATGACAACTGCTGACTAAAGAAAAAAGGGAAGCCCCCCCCTCCATCACCGAGTAAAGGAAATGACTCACATGAGAGTCGGCCAGGCACAGTGTCAGGTTTGTTGTACAAGTCACCAATGTCAGGCCCTCATGTTTCAAAGACAAATAAAAACCACCACTAAGATAAATCTCCTCTGGGCACGTAACAGTGTAGCCGTGCGTCAGGTCAACGAAACAAATACACTAGACTACCGCCACCGCTAATACCTACAGCGACAATGACAGCAAGACGGCGTCCTAACACACTTCCTGTCCTATTTATGACAATTCGGCTTGTCCATAGACACAATACAGAGAGTGAGTGTTGTCACCCTAGCACAGGAAGTGTGTTACTGGCGGCATCACTGGGTGATAAAGTACATCGAGCCTGAAAAAGGAAAACTAGGGACTGGTAAAGTGCAATATAGTTACTTTCCCCCGCTCTCCTATAATACAGCATGAGTACACTATGGGGTCGTGCCCCGCTCTCCTCTCTATTAATACACAGGGGTAAGCAAACTCCAGCTGTGGAAAAACTATAAATCCCATCATGCATCTGTCTCCGGGAGTCATGCAATAACTCAGGGGATTTGTAGTCTGCGCACAACGAGAGGCCCGGGGTTTGCCTGACCCTGCTATAGAGCCCTGTTCATTCATAACATGAGGACATAGTGTGTTTACTATAACCACAGTCATGAATGAACAGGAAGTCATGTAGAGCACTTCCCATTCATTCATAATTGGGGATATAGTAGACACCGGGCGCTTCCACAGCGCTCTCCTTCCGCAGCGCTCGGCCGCCTGTGACAGTTTCTCTCCTCCATGCTGGGACACAGAGCAGCGCCCAGCGGGGAGGAAAGAAATCACGGATGCAACGCTGTATCGGTAGGAAAATGCCACTTTCACCATTTTGCCAAAAGTGCCATTTTCTGGCGATCTGTTTTGGCGGCCGATATATCGCTGCGTCCCTAATGATACCTGTGAAGAGTTTGTAGACCGCAAACAGACAATAAAAGTACAGAGTCTTAGAGAAGAGAGTCCCACTTACATCTCTATGTACATATCTGAGAGGGGGCGGAGACAATGCAAAGTGCTGACGCATTTCACACTCAGAAGTAACGTGGTAAGTACAGACACCACTGGCCCAGTCCTGTACATAGGAAGATGCACATCACCACCATCTGTGTGTGGGGGGAACCGCTGGAGGGATACACCGCGAACACCACCGACCAGCCCCAACGCCACTCATCATCCAGAGTTATCATTCCGGTGGCACTGCACCTGGCTGCCACCTACCCACCAATCCAATGGCATTGACAGATTACCTGGCTGCTGCCTGCCCACCATTCTTGTGACACTGACAGTACACCTGGCTGCCACCTACCCATCCTCCACCATTCTGGTGATACTGACATTACACCTGGCTGCCACCTACCCATCCTCCACCATTCTGGTGATACTGACATTACACCTGGCTGCCACCTACCCATCCTCCACCATTCTGGTGATACTGACATTACACCTGGCTGCCACCTACCCATCCTCCACCATTCTGGTGATACTGACATTACACCTGGCTGCCACCTACCCATCCTCCACCATTCTGGTGATACTGACATTACACCTGGCTGCCACCTACCCATCCTCCACCATTCTGGTGATACTGACATTACACCTGGCTGCCACCTACCCATCCTCCACCATTCTGGTGATACTGACATTACACCTGGCTGCCACCTACCCATCCTCCACCATTCTGGTGATACTGACATTACACCTGGCTGCCACCTACCCATCCTCCACCATTCTGGTGATACTGACATTACACCTGGCTGCCACCTACCCATCCTCCACCATTCTGGTGATACTGACATTACACCTGGCTGCCACCTACCCATCCTCCACCATTCTGGTGATACTGACATTACACCTGGCTGCCACCTACCCATCCTCCACCATTCTGGTGATACTGACATTACACCTGGCTGCCACCTACCCATCCTCCACCATTCTGGTGATACTGACATTACACCTGGCTGCCACCTACCCATCCTCCACCATTCTGGTGATACTGACATTACACCTGGCTGCCACCTACCCATCCTCCACCATTCTGGTGATACTGACATTACACCTGGCTGCCACCTACCCATCCTCCACCATTCTGGTGATACTGACATTACACCTGGCTGCCACCTACCCATCCTCCACCATTCTGGTGATACTGACATTACACCTGGCTGCCACCTACCCATCCTCCACCATTCTGGTGATACTGACATTACACCTGGCTGCCACCTACCCATCCTCCACCATTCTGGTGATACTGACATTACACCTGGCTGCCACCTACCCATCCTCCACCATTCTGGTGATACTGACATTACACCTGGCTGCCACCTACCCATCCTCCACCATTCTGGTGATACTGACATTACACCTGGCTGCCACCTACCCATCCTCCACCATTCTGGTGATACTGACATTACACCTGGCTGCCACCTACCCATCCTCCACCATTCTGGTGATACTGACATTACACCTGGCTGCCACCTACCCATCCTCCACCATTCTGGTGATACTGACATTACACCTGGCTGCCACCTACCCATCCTCCACCATTCTGGTGATACTGACATTACACCTGGCTGCCACCTACCCATCCTCCACCATTCTGGTGATACTGACATTACACCTGGCTGCCACCTACCCATCCTCCACCATTCTGGTGATACTGACATTACACCTGGCTGCCACCTACCCATCCTCCACCATTCTGGTGATACTGACATTACACCTGGCTGCCACCTACCCATCCTCCACCATTCTGGTGATACTGACATTACACCTGGCTGCCACCTACCCATCCTCCACCATTCTGGTGATACTGACATTACACCTGGCTGCCACCTACCCATCCTCCACCATTCTGGTGATACTGACATTACACCTGGCTGCCACCTACCCATCCTCCACCATTCTGGTGATACTGACATTACACCTGGCTGCCACCTACCCATCCTCCACCATTCTGGTGATACTGACATTACACCTGGCTGCCACCTACCCATCCTCCACCATTCTGGTGATACTGACATTACACCTGGCTGCCACCTACCCATCCTCCACCATTCTGGTGATACTGACATTACACCTGGCTGCCACCTACCCATCCTCCACCATTCTGGTGATACTGACATTACACCTGGCTGCCACCTACCCATCCTCCACCATTCTGGTGATACTGACATTACACCTGGCTGCCACCTACCCATCCTCCACCATTCTGGTGATACTGACATTACACCTGGCTGCCACCTACCCATCCTCCACCATTCTGGTGATACTGACATTACACCTGGCTGCCACCTACCCATCCTCCACCATTCTGGTGACACTGACTGTGCACCTGGCTGCCGCCTACCCATCCTCCACCATTCTGGTGATACTGACATTACACCTGGCTGCCACCTACCCATCCTCCACCATTCTGGTGACACTGACAGTACACCTGGCTGTTGCCTACCTACCATGCCAGTGACACTGACAGTACACCTGGCTGCCACCTACCCATCATCCACCATTCTGGTGACACTGACTGTGCACCTGGCTGCCACCTACCCATCCTCCACCATTCTGGTGACACTGACTGTGCACCTGGCTGCCACCTACCCATCCTCCACCATTCTGGTGACACTGACTGTGCACCTGGCTGCCACCTACCCATCCTCCACCATTCTGGTGACACTGACTGTGCACCTGGCTGCCACCTACCCATCCTCCACCATTCTGGTGACACTGACTGTGCACCTGGCTGCCGCCTACCCATCCTCCACCATTCTGGTGACACTGACTGTGCACCTGGCTGCCACCTACCCATCCTCCACCATTCTTGTGACACTGACTGTGCACCTGGCTGCCGCCTACCCATCCTCCACCATTCTGGTGACACTGACAGTACACCTGGCTGCCACCTACCCATCCTCCACCATTCTTGTGACACTGACTGTGCACCTGGCTGCCGCCTACCTATCCTCCACCATTCTGGTGACACTGACTGTGCGCCTGGCTGCCACCTACCCATCCTCCACCATTCTTGTGACACTGACTGTGCACCTGGCTGCCACCTACCCATCCGCCACCATTCTGGTGACACTGACAGTACACCTGGCTGTTGCCTACCTACCATGCCAGTGACACTGCACCTGGCAGCCCCCCAGGTATGTCACCAATTTCTCTTGGTCAGTGCTGACCAGCACTGCTCCTTCACTTGCTCCCTCTCAGGGCTGCAGACAGACCCACAGCGGATTCCCCTCAGCCTTTGACCCCCTCACCTTGCCGCTGGCGGTGCCCCCGCTCACCCCAATCAGAAAAGGCCGGGGGTGGCCGCGTTCCGGAGCATCCAGGGTTCCCGCAGAAGCCATGGCCAGGACAACCTGCGGCCGCCCGGACTACATTTCCCAGAAACCTTACGTCTGCCTTATCATTCGCCTTGTGCAGTGTTCACCGTGGAGAACTCTGGGAGCTGTAGTCCTTCCTTAATCCTACGGGAGCATGCGCACTGAGAAAGGGCATGTGACCTGCCAGGGGACAGCGAGGGGCAGAGGGCAGGAGTAAGGGGTGGGGTTCGGCTGTCCTGGAGACGGAGTACGGGGCTGAGAGGAGTCTCTGCACTACCTGTGTAGGATGACAGAAGGCGTGCAGACATACTTTGCCTTCGTGCTCGCTACTGTGCGCGTCCCCGCGGTTGTGAATTAACATTTTAAACGTGCATAGCTTCCTCTCAGCGAGGACCCGCACACCAGGCTGGTCATGTGACACAGAGCACTCCTAGGCTAGGAGTCCTAGCCCCGCCACTGCTAAGATTATAGATGAGGAGAAGGCTGCTACCAATGGCGCTCTGTCACTTTGCTTCCTGTAGCAGCACAGTTATAATAATTTACTGGGTTAGGGGTTTCATTTAGGGCTGACCTGACCAACTGGTGCCCTGCAGTCAGTGGGGTACATGTTTGCAGTACACAAGCTACATGGGACACACAATGGCAAGTGGCAGTAGGGTGGCGGCGTTTCAGAACCTGTCCATAATTGCCAACATTTGAAAATAATAGAGAGACAATAAAGGGATCAAAGAGAAAATGCAGCGCTCCCTGCCTACCATGTCCAGTCAAAAAGTGGGTGTCGCCTGTCACAGCAGTGGAAGGGTGAGGCAGCTGGGAAGGGATGGATGTCAGCGGAGGAGAGGGAGAGTAAGGTGGCACTGGCTATTGAAGGATGGATGTCACCAAAGGAGGGAGTGGGGTTACATGGCTAGTGAAGGATGGATAATTGTCAGCATAAAGCCGGCCATACACCTATAGATTATCTGCAGACTTTCTATGGTCAGATGGAAAAAGTGTAACAGATTCCTCCATCTACGCTAAGCTGTGTGAATGGAGGAATCTCCCGCTGGGCCAAGCTTCAGTATCTTGTTAGTTGACCCGGCTGGCTCTCAAAATACCTGAACAATCTGATTGGATGCCGGCATTGTTCAGGTATTTTGAGAGCCACCTTCCCTGGGGTGACAACACTCAATTACTGAAGCGTTGTCACCCTAGGCTGCTCTTGATTTGGACTGAAAAACCCATCCCCCGTCTCCACACCTGCATTTCATAGGGAGGAGGGGTGATGGCGTTCAGTAAAGATCGCTTAACAAGCTGATGTTTGAGATTACAGACAGCGCACAGGAAGTTACAAGGACACTGAGTTTCTATCGCCATCAGCAGGTTTTTTGTACTTTGCCTGAGATGAGACCACTAATGCCGGCCATCATGTGACTGCCAAGCTGCGATATACGGTGTTACATTTTTCTTCTTGGATTTAGATACACGTTAGCACTCTCTTCAGGTTGCACATACAGGTGGTTCCATATGCATTGGATTAAAGAAGAACTCTTCCCTTGCCCTTGCAGTGGGGAGACCCCCACACTGGAATGATTAAGTGCTCTCTTTGTCTGGGGGGCATAGATAAAGCTGTGTTACTCACCTGATCCTGGGCTGTTAGACCGGTCCCTGCACCCTCCTCTCCCCTGGGCTCCGTTGGTCTAAGGACCGCTGACATCATCACATCTAATGCAGGTTCATTGACCTCCATTAGATGTGAGGATGTCGAGGGACATTCCATAGCTGGAGTGGAGGGGAAGAGAGGTAAGTGCCGACTGCTACACGGCCAAGGCAGTCAGCCTCTAGAGAGGCTTTATTGAAGCCCCCTAGACAAAATGAGCACTTAATCCTTGCACTGTGGGTGTAGCCAGGGCCAGATTCCCCACAAGGCTACCGAGGCCCGGCTTCGGGCGGCAGGGAGCGGAGGGGCGGCAGCGATGTGGAATCCCCCGACACCCTGGAACATGTAGTTCCGGGCGGTAAGTTGTTTCTACATTTAGCCCTGCTTTGGGAAAGCAGGGCTAAATGTAGTGTGAAGCCGCTTGTTCGTTCGTTATCCCCCCGCACCAACCCCACTCCGCAGCCGAGTCTCTCACTGGCCCCTAACTGGTCGCCGATGCGGTGAGCAGAACGGCAGGGTTAAAACTACCCCTGCCGCTCCGTGTATACCGTGAGAAGGGAGAGCCGTCTTCCCCTCTCACCTGTCACAGGAGTTCCAGCACAGTGCTGTGCTAGAACTCATGTCCTGCAGGTGACAGGGACAATAAAGAGAACCTGTCACCTCCAAAAAATGCTATCACACGGGCTTGTTAGCTCCTGTGTGATAGCAATAAAGTTAAGTGAAAAACATTGATAAAAAAATAATTACATTTAAATATAAATAAAAAAAATAGTACAAAATAATAAGAAATAATACATTTAAAAAAATAAACAGGTGATAAAAAAAAGTAAAAAATAATATGAAAAAAAGATAAGAAAATAATTATAAAAAATAAACAATAATAAAATAAAACATAATATAAAAAGTAAACGATAAGATAAATAAAAAGTAAAAAAAATGAAAATAGAAAAAAAGTAGTTGCGTACGAGCCGTTGGCAGAAGCCACAGTTTGCGGTGGAAGTATGGAACACTTGCAGCAGCAAACGTGGTGGCCTTTTGAGACATGGGCTGCTGGAGAGGTAAGTATATTTCAGGCGGTATGCTTTTGTATACAATGTATAAGATCTCCCTGCATTCTCCCAGCCAGTTCCTGTCATGTTTTATATCCTATCGCCAATAAAACCATAAACTCCAATCTCGTCTCACTGGAAACCTTGAGATATGAGCATTGTCCTATGAGGCATTGGCTTCATGGGGATGGGGGAGGGGGCCATATTCAGGGACCTAAGCAGGTCAGAGATAAGTCATTTGGTCCTCTGTCTGTAGAAGCAGAGGTTTCCCCGTCGGGATAAAGAATACATAAGCCTGGAGGCTGCCATTGCTGACCTCCTTCTGAAAGCACTGGTTGCCTTATGAGTAATGCTGATCATCTGCCTGAAAGCCAGCGACGTCACCAAGCCGGGTGTTACCTGGTGTGCACGTCATTAAGTATACACATGACGTCATTACGCACATATGGAATGACATCACATGCACTTCACTGCCGGCAGCCATCTTGGTGATGGACGCCAGCAAAGAAAGGAGGGGATGTGCCAGACTTTTTAGAGAGGGTATGACTGTCAGTCATTTTGGTGTCACCCTCCTTGTGACGCCACTGCTTTACTATCTCCCGGCCGGCCGTTGTAAAAAAATGGCCGGCCGGGAGCTCTCGAGATCTGAGCGGGCGTCTTTAGACGTCCGCTCAGACACGCCCCTTTGCGTGGGGGAATGCCCCGTGGGGGAAATGCTGGATATTTAAAAACAGGCAGCGATGCCTGTTAACATACAAGCTATCCGCCGGCTATAGATAGTAGGAAAAACAATTAGCCCCCCCCCTCCCAAAATTTAAAGTTACACATAAAAAAGTTTTTTAAAGTCCCCACCCATACATACACGCATGCTAACATGCGTGGGGGCGCATACGTGCAAAAACGATGATTGCGCCCATTACGCCGCACATGTTACATATCGCCGCGAACGTCGGAGTGAGAGCAATAATTCTAGGGCCATCAATCACTGATAACACTAAACTGATGAGCGGTAAAAGCTTTTAAAGCGTCACCTATGGCCAATTTTGGGTATGGTAGTTTTCTGCGATTTTCGCTGGTGCGCGCAATTTTAAAGCTTGACATGTTTGGTGTCTATTTACCCGACGTGACCCCGCCTTTTATATTTTACCAAAAAACTTGGTAATAATAAATGTTTCGGCTTGTAACAGTGAAATGCAACAATGCACTTAGAAGGTCCCGCCTCCTTTCTCCGTTTTCCTCCTGGGAGATTCTAATAGGTTTTCGCCGCCAGTCGGGCGGTGAGGAAATCCGCTACAGGAGGAGAAAACCATACCAGATTGTCTGATTTGGAGAGAAAAGAGGGTGACGGATCATTGGAAACCACAGGACTTTCTGGGCCATTGTTTGGTCGGAGGCGTTTTTTGCGGACATTTCTCTTGGTAATGAATTGACTACCCACTCAGGCACCATTGAAAGAAGTAAAGTAACTGCTGTAATCCCATTCTATGTAAACTGCAAACTCTTTGAACTGACTGCTTGTTATATTGTTGCTAGTATTCTAGACAATTAACCCCGTATAACCTTTTTTTTCTTTGAGAGGAATCTGAGCGCACGGAGCTGCACTGTATACTTAATATTCGTTTTAATATGACACTATCTAGGTGTGTGTACTATATTTAAGTTTTTCACCACGCTTACCCACTTGGGGATTGGGACTTTTTGAATCGTTTTCTTACTAACAGCATTGACCTTACATATGGCAAGTTTACAACATTTGGTCACCCAACACGTATTGTTTATAATATGTCCTGGTAGATGTTCATATCATCAGTGTTTGTTCGGTTACATCGAGTGCACTCAGCACACAGAAACACTCAATGATATACCGGACTGTGATTGATTTTTTTCACACACTTATTCAACATTGTTGCATTTCACTGTTACAAGCCGAGATACTGATTCCCGGTATTTGCACTTAATTTTTTCTTTGAACTGAGAGTTTACCTAACCACACTCTTAATATTCAACCTTTATTTTAGACTGAGCGCAACTTACTTGTTACATAATATTTTCACTCACACACATTGTTGCGGCTGGTCCAATTAGTTATCTAGACACTCACTCCTAGCGCAGTGATTTTTTTGGATTACTAATTAGTAAGAAGCTCTATGCGTCCCCAAAAAATGGTATAAAATTAATTTCAGTACAGCGTTGCATGACGGAATAAATGTCAGTCAAAGTACCGCAGCGCTGAATACTGAAAAATGGCCTGGCCAGGAAGGAGGTATAAACACCGCGGACTTCAAGCAGTTAAAGCCCAGCTATTTATTTATTTTTTTAAATGGTCCCCTGGCTGGCTACAAATCAAGAAGGTGCATTACTGTAATTCACACTGG